GAGTGGGGAGAAATATGAAGTAGGAATAATGATGATGATGATAATAATAATAATAATATTTCTTATTATTATTATGTAACGGTTCTGTACATCATGAGTGTAGCTGTACAAGGGAGGGTCAGCAAGGTTGAGAAGGAATTAATGGGTTAGTAGGTGACAGAGAGAGAAGAGAGAGAGGGAGAATGAGAGTGAGAGAGATAAAGGGCTCATAAAAAAAGACAGAAGTTGTCATAGCTCATTTTTGGATCTGTCCATAGCTTCATTAGTTTGTGGAGACTCCAAAAAAGTCTGCTTCTTGAGTTTAGAAAAGTTGAGCATGAATGCCAAAGTGGTTGTGAAAGTACAGGTGCCAGTGGAGTTCTCATGACTTCATAAGATTGCTCATACAGTATTAGCCTTGATATACTGGTGTGGCTGGCATCCTCTGGCATATAAAAATGTGCCCTGTGTGTTGCTTTCAAGTTGCGTATCGGCTTCTGACACCCCATGCATTTCATAGGGTTTTCTTAGGCAAGGAATATTTGCCACGTCTTTCCTCTGAAATATAGGTCTTTATCACACCAGTCTGCTGTCTCACTGTTAGTGAAGGAAAGGTTTCAGAAAATTCATTCTTGCACTTTTCTGCATGAGTGAAATTACTCTGCTTTGAAAATGAATAATCCCATAATCTGTCTTCCACACAGTCTCCCTATTTTCTCCTTCCTTCCCTGTGCCCTCTTAGTATTCTTTCAGTTTTTATTATTTTAAAATGTTATTATCATGGCAATATGATATTTTTTACACAAAGAAACAAAATAGAGAGATGGGAGAAAAGGAAAATAGCCTGCTTGTGTATGGGGAGTGGGGAGAGGATGAAAGGAAGAGAATTACACCCACTGGTCCCTTGTGATGGTTGGCTTGTTAGGACTGAAGGGATCTATTTCACAGAAATCAGTAATGGGAAGGCAACAATATCAAGAGTCATTGGCAGATTTTACTTGTCACTGAAAAAGTATACTGCACTTACAAAAGGATGCAAAGCAGCAGCACGATGGATGACATTATGTGATAAGTACCAGCCAAAGATGCTGTTCTGCTGAAAATTCTATTATGTCAGCCTTGTGTGATAGGATCCATAGCCTATAGAACCTAATATTTGTTAGCAGTTTCCCATCCAAGTACTAGCCAGGGTTGACTTCGCTTAGCTTCCAAGATCAGACTGGTTCCTTTAAGGTGGAAAAAAGAGCATAATTTCTTTGGTTGTGTAGAATCTCATTTATTACTTCTCTTCCATCTGTTCATGAAATAGCACAGTTCTGCTCAGTAAAATGCCCCTGTGTGGATGCTTCCCAGGAGTGCCTTTTACCAGCTGGCATCATGTCTTCCTAGAAAACAAGGAAACAAGTTTACCATATTGGGCAAACTCAGCTTCACTAACAAAATATGCTGTATATGCAACTAACCCTGAAAAGAGCCCAGAAATGAAATTGAGGGCTAATTCACTTGTGGATTACTGAAATGTCCCAAACATAGTGAGTGAGTGGGTTCTATGATATGCGTGATGGTTCAAAATTAGAGATTTGTGAAGAAGCTGGAATTCCCTCCCATGGGACATTAGTCACATTTCAGCAATCTATTGAAAACTTTAATTAACCTTGAATTTTGCATTGATTTATGGATCACATGGCTACTTTCTTGGTTTTTTTAAAACTAGACTCCAAAAATAGTAGCTATTTTTGTATAGAACAGATTGTATTCCTGTGGGGGTCAATACCATGGAGAGCATTACATCACTGCTATAAAAGCTGTATTTGCTGCCAGTTAATTTCCAGAATAAATGAGAGGTGCTTATTTTAAAACACTCTGTATTTTGGAAGTTGGGTAGCTAATAAAGTACTGTCTTCCCTGTGTACCTTCCCAGATGTTGAGATTCACGCCACTAACACTAAGCAGATCTCATTGGGAACTTGATTGAGATGCATCTATCCACAAGCTTTGGCCATGTTGGCTAGGGATGTCTGGGTGTTCTAGGCTAGAGAAGTCTATTGAATTCCCCAAATTGACCTTTTTATAAATCTTTGCTTTTCAGGTCATTATACTCTCTGTGGTAGGGATGCAGAGAATGCAGTCTGCCCTCCACATTTGTGGATTTGTTTTTTGTGGGTTTGATTATTTGTTGATTTAATTAGTAGTCTCAATAAGAATCGCCATCGGAAATGGCTTATTGAGTTGCACTGGAGGACCTAGTGATTCACTGATTTCTTCCTTTTCTTGGGTCCTGCCCACCTAACCCCAGCAAATGCGGAAGGTCAACTGTACTTATACATTTATTTGTTTTTATTGAGAAAAAATGCCTCAACAGATCAACCCATTTTATTCACACAATGGTAAACTTATGCAAGATTGTTTTCATCTCAGTGGTTTATTTTGGAAGAAAATTAGCACAAGAATGAATTGTATGTGTGAAAATGATTTTTATACCCAAAACATAATTTTTGCATTTAAGAAATAGATTTTCTTGGACAAAACACATTTTTTTTCACTTAAACTGCAAAGTTCACATTACAAAAAATAGTATTTTTATGCATGCAACAACAAGTTTTTAAATACTCCTTTTTGTGGGATGGATTTTTTTTTCTGCAGAAAGTTCTGAAATATGAAAAATCATGGGGAAACACCCACAGACTTATTGTTTTTGCCCAGCAGGAAAAGAAAACTGTTAACACACACACACACAGAAAGATAGAACAAATGAATTTTACATTTTTACAGATAAAACCTGTTTTTCTTTTGGAAAATCTTTGTGCATATTTGTTCTCCTGATGTAAATGTAGTTAGGCATCCTGTAAACAAATTGTGTTGCCTAAGTTAGAATTTTGTTGGAAATGTACATGTTATTTATTTTAAATAATGTTTTTAGGTTAATGTGTGTTTTACAATGTGGTAACTTGCCTTAAGCTGTGAGGAGAGGCAAGCAAGAAATCTTTTTTAAAATTATTATCACAATTCATTATTTTGGTTGTTGTGAAGATCAGATTTTTTTTTTTTGTAAAATAACCCGTATCTCACTAAACCCATTTTGTGAGTAGCACAGTTCTCCCCAAGCATGGCTGTTTATGTTTTTTTTTTTTTTTTGGAGAGCAGGGATGCATTTAGCTACATTCCTTTAACTTTACGTGCTGCAAGGCCATCACCTGCAGAGATGTCTTGAGGTCCCTATAGATATTTATCTGCATGTACAAAAAATAGCTGACCGTCTTTGCTGTTTACCCTTGCTTTCCAACAACATGAATGTGGTTGTGTAGTTTTGTTTAGTTTTTTAAGAATCCTGTTTTTATTACTTGCCACGATTGTAGATAAATGTATTCATTGTTCAGTAGAAATTTGAAATGAAATTTAGAAGATACTATCTGCCTGAATTACTACATTAACTGCGAATAGTATGGCATAGGCTAAGAAAAAGCAAGAAACTCTTCTTATCCCATGTTTTCTGTACCACCATAAAAAAGAATGCAACCAGCTGGAACAACTACTAACCATGCTTTTGATACTGTGCTGCTTACAAAGTAGGTTGAGGAATTTTCATTAAGAGAATATTTATATGGACATTGCTACATGCTATGTCCATATACGTATGTCCCAATGCAGAATCTCAAAGTTTCTTTAGTTTAGCATTATATTCCAGCATGCTTTTGGGGTGGGTGGGGTGTGTGTGTGTATTAAAATAGGCTGCAAAAAATAAAATGTTAAATAAGATTTGTTTGAAGTTGATAAGTAAACTAATTAAAATGTTTTAATTATATGAATACTTGTCAGTTATTTGCTTGTTCGCATAGTCTGCATAGCACCCTACCTTTTTTACCCTAAAAAATGAAGGTTAGTATGGGATGAAACTGAGTAGACTGATAGACTCAGTGGTTGTAAAGAGAGTCAAGATATAGATAAATCCTGTTGATTCAATGGATCTAGTTGAGATTGACAAGAGATTTAGATCACTGTGATTAATTGGAATGTGCTGTGACTTCTCCCACTGGCAGAATTAATCTCATAGCAGAACATCACAGTAGATTAATATTTTAAATGAATACAGACTAATGCCACATAGCAAGCCGATTAAAACTGTGAACTGTCAATACATTATTCTTTTATTTTTCTTCCTCCTCAAAACTGTATTTTTGTCTCTCATCTCTTCCCAGTAGTTACTTCCATATTTATCTTCGTATACATATCTTTAAAAACGTAAACCATAAGGGGAGACTTACTGTTTTAAATTATTGAAAAATGTGTATTAAGAAGCAGCTTGTCACTGAAGTTATGGTTTGTCCTTTAGCTCCCTCTTTTGGTGATGAAGTCAACTAGAAATTGTTTCTTTTCCCCTTTCTTTTTTAGATAGTCCGCCCAGGGTGTTCTCTTTATAACAGGCCTGGTATCATGTCATTTTATCTGATCAAAAGTGGGAAAACTATATTGTTTCCTCAGTTACTTTCTTATCCATTTTGTTAGCATGTTCTTTGCATAATGTTACACACTGTTATTATACTGGTCAAAGGACATTTAATCAACTACCAAGCTTGCAAATTTTGTTTTGTGTCTGTTTTTTTTTTGTTCTGTTAGAAATGTAATACAATTGTCTGGTTGCCCCTGACACAATAAATAAATAAATAAATAAATAAATAAATAAATACTGTTATTATATTAAAAAAATGTACATCAATTTTTCTCACCCATCCTTATTTTGCAATAATGCAAAATGTCTAAACCAAACATATTCAGAAGAGGCGGCATAAGAAGGCAGCAAAGTGAGAGGGGATGAAGGCAAGGTGCTTGTACAGGTGTTACTGTCTAGTTCAGGGGTGGGCAAACTTCACCCCTTCGGTTTCATTTCAAAGTAGTAGAATTGGGAGTTTAAAAATGCATTGCACAAAAATATTAACATGTAGCAGAAGTATTAAGATGTAATTGCAATTTTGTCCAAGTGTGCTTAAGTTTTTACAATTAAATATTTTCTTATCTCCCTGCAGGTTATAGAAACATTATCCAAGCTTTCTCGCACGTCTGTTGCATTAGCCACTGGAATAAGGTACAAATGTCTTGCAGTTTGTGTTTTTGGCTTTCATTTTTAGCTAGATTACCAGTCGATTTTGTGTGCAGGTGAACTACAGTTAGATTTTTTTCTAATGTCTGCAGCTTTGTTGTAAAACAACAAAAGTATGACAGAACCGAGGAGCAATCTAATCTGTATTAAACATCTTCTCTTGTTTAGTTGCAAAATACACACACACACACACATGTATTGGGGAGTCAGTCACTAAAATACAAGGAATTGTATGCACACTGACACAAAATGAAGCAATCATCATCATCATCAACATCATCATCTAGGAATTGGGATAGCCTAATTCTTATGCATGAATGACACAAGTGACATTACCTTATGGAACTGGTCTGCTGTAGTTTGAGCATCATAAAACTGAGTGTCAAGGTCTTCTTGAAATGGTTCAGTGAAGACTGTGATTGCATTAGATGATCATGTCTTGATCTATAAATGTAGCTGCTTTTCTTCTTCTTCCATATCATAAAACCTCTGTTTGAAGGCAATTTAAGATCTTGAATCTGGTAACCATAATTTCCAAGTTCTGTCTAATGGGAAACCATAGTTATTTGAAGACTTGGCTTATCATATGAAAGCGAGAAAAGAGAAAAAAAAGGGTTTCATTTTTCAAGCTCACTTGTACTTGTCTGAACTAGGCCGATGTGCCTAATTCAGACACATGTTTTGAAAAATTGTGAGCATGTTTTGAAAAATTGTGAGCATTTGCTCTTTAATCAGTCTCAGGTTTGGTGTTTTAGCAACTAAACCTGAGGTTAAGAAGATGCAAGTGGACTTCATACTATCTGGAGTAATTGCTGCTCACTCCTACTTAATGTTGATCAAGTATTGCAGTGTTAGCCATATTAACAGCAATTACGTCTTGTTATGTCCTACACTTAAGCAGGATTGGAACTTTGCTTCAAACCAAAAGATGACAAATCCTAAGAATTGTTCTATACAGGCAATCCATGGTATGAGGGGCAAGGTAAAGTGGGCAATGCAGGGCATGGAGCAGCGGCTTCTCCTTGCCCCTTACTGGGAGCCCATGGATTTAGGTCAAATTCAATTGCCTTTATGATAAGGTCCTAAGAGCCGATTCAGATTCCTGGGAGGTTTTCTGTGTGCATGATACAACACTGTGTTTTTAGGCTGCAACTATTACTGTGTTAATATTTTGACTCCATTTAATATACATCGGCGATTTTGGATGTATAGAGATCTAAATATTCCGTTGAACACCTGCTGGCTAGACATGCAGTCCCACAGTAGAAATACACACACACTTTGGTCTTCTGGGAGGTGTCTGCTCCAACCAGCCAGAACCCGACTGGCAACTACCAGCCAGAGGACCCTTTCATCAGCCACCCCATGACTGTGGAACAACCTGCCAGAAGAACTCCGACAGCTGTCAGAATTTTAAAACCATATAAAGACCTATCTCTTCTGGCAGATAGTCTTTAAACATGAGTTTTAAGTGTCCTTTGCTTGATCTCTGTTTTGTATATTTTAGTATGTATTTTGTAGAAATACATTTTGGTGTGTAACTTTCATGGAATTACATTTATTGTGTGTGTTTGTAGTTTCTAGGAAATCTTGGAAAAAATAAACTTGTAGGTTCATGCTATTTGTGACCAATATTTATTTTTCTCTTTTCTCTCTATAGGCCATTTCCTACAGAAGAAAGTGTGAATGATGAAGACATATACAAAGGTCTCCCAGATTTACTAGAGTAGGTTGTAAATTTGTATAGTATATAAGCTCTGTCCACAGTTTAAATAAGATGATAGAATATTCTGCTCTATTAGGACTTCTATTTTGCAACCATATAAATCTGATGGATATATTGTTCTGTATTGTATAGGCTGTGAAATCCATAATAAAGAAAGATTCTATCATATGTTCAAGATGGTTGAAAGTTCACATAAAATCCAGAGTTTTTGATTTCTCAGAATGAAGTGAAATTTCTCAGTTTGTCTTGCAAAAAGTTAAGCGACTGAAGTTATGTTTTGAAACTAATTTGAAGACCCAAGATGTAGGAAAGCTATGAACAAGATGTTTTTAAAGACATGGTAACGTAAGGAAGGATGCAGTTTATTTCGCTGAGTTCCCCTGAGGTTGTTGTAGCCTAGTTTTCAATATACTTAGAATTTGACCTGACAGGAGTTTCTAAATTTAGATATCAGCACATGTGTAGGAACTTTGTAGCCCCCTCACCCTTTTCCTTAATGGAAATTGGATTTCTTTCTAATTTTGTTTTGTTCAAAGAAATTACATTGACCTATATTGTTTCTCCTTCAATCACATGAGTAATTCCAGGTTTTATTGTTATAGAACCTAAAATTTAAATATTTTGAGATGTACACTTTACATTTTTTTCCAAGACATTACCATTACCAGTGCATGATTTCTTTAATGCTCTTAATTATGTACGCTATGATTTGTTTTCACCACAGTTACAATGTTTGCACAACTTGCTAGATGGTAGTTGATCTAGAACAGTGGTTCTCAACCCGGGGTCCCCAGATGTTTTTGGCCCACAAATCCCAGAAATCCCAGACAGTTTTTCAGCTGTTAGGATTTCTGGGAGTTGAAGGCCAAAAAAATCTGGGGACCCCAGGTTGAGAACCACTGATCTAGAAGCTTGTAATCTCACCTTCCTGGACATACTTTCAAAGAGGGGAGGTATTGTATTTACATTTGTATTTGTAACTATCAAAATGGCTTCTAACTCCTATACTTAGTGTTATGGTTTGCTCTTGTTTTACAGTGAAACCGGTGTAGATGAAGATGAAGATCTTTATGATTGTGTTTATGGGGAAGATGAAGGCGGAGAAGTTTATGAAGACCTAATGAAAGCAGAAGCTGCCCATCAGCCTGTATGATTCAGTTATTGACGTTGGGACAGAATCCTAAAAAATAGTGGTACTAAAGACACTTAAGCCACTATCCAAGCAAAATTAAGCACACTTATTAAGTTCTCTTGATTTCAGTTGGTGTGTTATCCCCACTGAAGGCAATGGGGCTCAGAGGTGCTTAACTTTGGAAAGGGTGATTAATAGTTTTCAGTGCCCTGTTGTATTAAAAAGTGGGGAAAATTTTAAAAAAAGATCAATAATAATCACTCTAGTGTTAGTTTATAATTTCCCCCCTTTCTTTTGGGACTGTACATTTATCTTCAAAATCAATTCCTTTAGGTAGTTTTTCTTTTCTCAAAAATGTCTCAGTGCACAGATGTTGGAGTTTATTCATCTATTTAGTAAACATCAATTTAATGTTCCTAGAGCAGTTTAAGATCATATTAAAAACAAGTGAAAATGTAATAACATCCCATACAAATCTGATATAGCATAACATCAACAAAATCAATTGCCTAGGTTAAAACCAGTTACTTTATTTTGTGTAATTTATTTATTGAATGAATATCCTCCTTTCTTCTAAAATTATTTAGGGTGTTTTAGCCTTTCCTAATGTAATGTTTTAGAGAGTTGCCTTGAAAACCTGTTTTAAATGCATAGAAAAATACTAAAGGGGTTTTTGTTTGATACCAGAATTACTACAACGTAGACATGTGTTGGACCTTTCTGATAAGGTAGATCTGGAGTGCCACAACAGAGAAGACCCTTTCATTCATATCCATCTCTTGAGCCTCTTGATATCTGAAGACTAGATGCTGAACAAGATGTCCATGTTTCTTCCTATTATTTGACTTGGTGTACTGCAAGATTTGTGTAGACTCTGAGAACCCTTCCTCACCAAAACATTGTAGTTCATTCAGCGTGTATTTCTTATAGTGCCAGCTACACCAATCTAGTGGCAGAAGGTCTTGTATGAAGTCTAAATAGGTTGCCCCCTTTCCTAACTTTCCTTTCTCCTACTGTCCAATTAATAAGACTGATAACGTAACATTTGGGTGGCTCTAAAGTAATAACAGTAGGAATATGTTCAACATTCATTTCAGCTACAAATGACAATTTGTTGAATTTGCAGAAATGTCCTGAAAATGATATAAGAAGCTGCTGCCTTTCTGAAATAAAGCAGACTGAAGAGAAGTACACTGAAACTTTAGAATCTATAGAAAAGGTAAAGTGGCTTGATAAAATGATGAACAATAACCAGGGGGATTGAGGGCAGGGGTGAGGTTTCAAAAATGGGTTGGATTAAAATGTGTAGCCTAGTCTTAGGTATGGAGATGTTTGTATCATGAAATGTCAAAATATAGGATGAGCATCCCTTATCCAAAATACTTTGGACCAGGAGTGTTCCATATTTTGTGGAATATTTTGGAATATTTTATGTACATAATAAGCATGACATTAATTTATGTTTCATATATGCCTTACTGACATAACCTGAAGGTAATTTTATATACAATTTTAATTATTTTGTGTATCTAGCAAATGTATCTATTGAATTATCAGAAAGTGAAGATGTAACTTGCTCAGCTTTCCGTGTGCCTATTTTTGAATTTTGGAGTATTTCATATTCCAGAAATCCAGATAAGGGATACTGTACTTGTGATTTTAAGAACATTTGCTACAGTTCTTTTTTTAAAATCATAATAAATATAGCAATATTATCAAGAGGGCAAATATTCAGCTACTCAACTTTTTGGTAACAATCATTGTTCCTGCTTATAATACAGTAGAGTCTCACTTATCCAAGATAAACAGGCCAGCAGAACGTTGGATAAGCCAGAATGTTGGATAATATGGAGGGATTAAGGAAAAGCCTATTAAACGTCAGATTACATTATGATTTTACAAATTAAGCACCAAAAGTCATGTTTTACAACAAACTGACAGAAAAAGCAGTTCAATACATGGCAAAGTTATGTAGTAATTACTGTATTTATGAATTTAGCACCAAAACATTGCAATGTATTGAAAAAGCTGTGGATCCAGAAGGGAGGCAGTCTGCGTTGGATAATACAGAATGTTAGTTGAGCGAAGGTTAGATAAGCAAGACTCTACTGTATATAGATCTGTCTAATTGCAATTTCTGAACTCCAGTTTAGGGATGAATTATTAAAAGTCACTTGTTCAGAGGCATTCCATTCTCTCTCTAAGATCCACTGTCTTTGCTTTGCTTCTTTCCAGTTAACCTCTATTGTAGATCAGTGACAGCAATAACAACTGCCACAACAATAATATATTTTTATGTATTACCTGCCTCTCCTTATGGCTTGAGGCGAGGTGCAACACAGTTAAAATACATCATTATAATAAAATACATTCAATAAAAGCATAAAACAAAGCATATTTCTATAAAATACACATATTAAAATGTGTATTTAATTTTAATTTTATGTGTTTAATTTTAATATGTACAATAAACATAGTGTGTGAATTTAAAATTCATAATTAAAAATTACGCCAAAAGACATAGGTATTCAGTTGCATCTTGAATTCTGACACACTGCTGTCTGCTTCTATAGAATACTGATAAAAATACTGATTTTTATCACTTGTGGCTTCTTATTCAAAGCCTCAAAGGTAGTGATATATCTGGGATATACGATGGAAAGCACAGGTGGATGACTGTTAGTTCTTGTTATTCCTAAATAAGCAGAAAATGAATGTTTCAGAGAGATATTTTGACATGGGTAGCAAAATATACAAATCATATTTATGTTCATTTTTTTCTTCCAGTTTTTTATGGTTCCACTAAAGAGGTTTCTGACAACATCAGAATTTGAGACAGTGTTCATCAACATTCCCGTATGTAATGACTTGAAAAAGCATGAACATGGGTTTTTACTTATAGTGTGGGGTGGATATATACCAAAACAGTACTTAAAGATTCAGGCTGAAGATACAGAGGCACCTGTCCGACTTCCGCATTTTAAAGAGACAAATAGGTCCAGTGAAATGAATATTGGCTTAACTGTCAGTCTTATGTTGTCCTGCTTGTCTGCTCACTTGTTTGGTGTTGACTACAATCTGAAGGAAGTTTAGAAAATGTCTTTTAACCAGCTCAGATGGGGAAGTAGTGTGATGCATGAGCAGTTGGGCTACTGAAAGTGTTCCGTTGAGATATGTGAGATGTGTACCAATGCTTTAAGTTGTGAAGCTGGTATGATTAAAGAGTGCTCCAGTGATACTCTTTCAGTCAATAGATTCATTACATTTATCTTGCTTTTCACCTGTGATTGACTCTCAGAATGATTTACAAATAAGTGTGGAAAGTTACTGTGCAGAAAGATTGAGGGATGATACTATACATCTCACAGTTTCAGCATCATATTCTTCTATTTGCATTTTGAATTGCTCATTTACAGTTTCCTTAAAGAGGTTACACTTTCTATGTTGGTCTAAGTAAAGCAAAATTTTGAACTGACACAACACATAACATAACTGGAGATAACACCAAGTTTCATTAAATGTTTATTCCAGTCTTATCTGGGAAATGGCTGCCAGTATGTTCTTCTGAATGCGGCTGTGTGTGTCTGAAGAATGCAGTTGTGGTTAGAAATCTGGTGTGGTGTAAATCTGATCTTGTACTTTTTCCAGGTCCTGTCAAATTCTAGAGAGGACCAAATCACTTCTACCTATTCAGGCCCTTAGATAATAAAAAAGAAAATAAAGACCTACAATGAAAGGCAGCCTAAAGGGAAAATGTTATCTAGCATAGAGCTTCTAAATTGTTCCACTGGGATCCCTTTGGGTCTGAGAGATTTTTGCATTACCTTGGCAATATAGATATATAAAATAGGTATAAAAACCAAACATTTATTGATAACAAATTGGAGCTCTCCAGAGTAGTCAGTGATCAGGGAACATATAAACATGCTGTTTCTGATGACTTGCTACCAAAGACAGGCATCTCACTATGACTATCATAAAGGCCAGCTCTGCAAATTGTGTCCATACTTCTCTGTAAGGAAGAGTCTGTCACATTTTGGTGCAGTAGGAATTAGTAAAAGCAAATTATGAAGTGTAGCAAGTGCTGAAAAACTTAGGGCATATCTAATATATGAAGCTTCCTTTGAGCTTGAGATCCAAGCTTTTTTACTCTTTTAGAAGCTCTATGTTCCTGAGTTTATCTTTGGTCACAGGAGAAATTAATCATAAACTTTTGAATAATGGAGGCCTATCGCATATAACTCTTCCTCCATATATCTTCTAATTTTGTCAAGTGTGTGTTTTAGGAGACACCTGGAAAATGTGTAATATGCACATTGCAAGATATAATGCTTATCCCATTTACACTCTGCTTGTCTCAGCATCTCCTGTTTCTTGAAGAACACATTAAGAATTGCAGTTCATTGACCCACATGTTGCTTTTAAGCTATTTAGTGTAATTTGCAAAACTAATTTTGCCAAAGTGCTTTAATTTGAATGATCAATATTTACAACTCTAAAACTGAAAGAGGTATCTTGGTAGCTGAATAAAAGGGACTGCACTGTGTTGAATAGACCTGTATTATTTTCATCTGCCCCTTCAATTCTGAACCTACAGTGCAAACTTTCATTATGAATGTGTGGACAATTATATATTTTCATTAAGAACCTGGTTATAATCAGAACAGTAGGCATTTTCTAAATTCATTTGAACTGGGATGGACAATATTTACTTGTGACAATAGAAGTGAGAAGGACATCAGACACTAGGTTTTGGTCTCTGTGGGGTGTAAAAAGGAACACAAATATCTGCAAAAGCTACGAATAGATATATATAGATATAAGGTTAGTTTACACCTATGTATTTAACTAATAGGTTGCCAGCCTCAGGTTGACAACATGACGCCTTTTTTAAGATCAAATGGCATAATGCAGTTATGTGGAATTTACCTTGTGAACCCTCATTTCTACACCCATGGAAGTAGTAGTTTTGATCTAGAAATTATTTCTACTGTAAGATAGCCAGCTATTTTACTTTATTATTTAACCTTTTGAAAACAGTAAATTTACAGGATAGCACAAGCTTCATCAAGCAAGTTCTAAAAGTTATTTTTTTATTTCAGGATTTGGTGAAAATTCATAGAAATTTAACACATGACATTCATGAAGCCATTGCAAACAAAGGTGACCAGAACCTGTATCAAGTTTTTATTTGCTATAAAGAAAGGTAATGTTACATTGTTGTTCTAAACATACATGTTGCTAATAATATAAACTATTAATATTCCTTTGCACTTGAACTGGTTATGTTTCTTTACCTCTTATTTTTGTGTAGTGTGCTTTTTGAGAAAAAATACTGAATTCTTAGTATAAGTTTAGTGTAATGTGTAATGTTAGCATATAGCTGGTGGAGTTCTTTAAAAATGTGTTGACATAATTTCATAGAACATTATGTTACAGAAACATTATGCTGTATCCTTTTTGTTCGCCCCTGGCACAATGTTTTAAACTGCTCTTTGTTAGCAAGTGCCAGCCCTATTTTTTTTAAATAAACAATGACACATCTTGGTATTTCAGTGTGCAATAATGCACATATTCACAAATTGGTCATATCCCAAATATTATGTACATCAACATCCTCTTCCCCTGACCTTAGATAATCAGGAAATGTTTTCAGCTAGTATTCATTTCACTTCTTCACACAGAGTAGGAAAATTTGGTTTTATGGAGCTTTATCTAATATGGTCACCTTCTAAAGTTTATATCTATGTTTATAAACAGGAAATGGGAGGGAGACACCCTCACTGTTTGGATTATAAATGGATATTTCTGAAGGAACTTGAAGTATAGTTATTTTATGATTTAACAATGATACAATGTAAGATAGAGTTATTAATTCTTTCCAAAGGTGCACTGAATTCTGATAACAGAACAAAACTACACACACACACACACACACACACACACACGAAAGGTAGTTAATGCATCAGTATTCATTAAACTGAGTTTCTGATAGTAGTTTTCCATGAGTTTATTATGTCATTGTACAACTGCAGCTATATAAGAACTTAATCACACAGGAGACTTCCCCGTGTCCCATTTTGCCAGCTTCTATGGCAAAATGGCAGAGATGAGGGGTTACTATGGACCTCATCACATGAGGAATTTTTAGCATCCTAGGATGCTTTGTCCCAGTTGAGGGATGGGTACTACGTCCCTTGGGAATGGGGTTGAGGCCCCATCCCCAACCAGTGTGGAAACATTTTAGGATGCTTTCTCATCAACACAGGAGGGCTCCTGTGTTGTGCTGGCTCCAATGTAGTCAGCACTTTTGCCCCAGTTGAGTGATGCTGGCCCCATGTGATGGGGGAAACATCACCATGCCAGAGCAGTGCATGGTGCAACTCTGTCACACCATGCCTTTTCTCCACACTTGCTGATGAAACAGCACAGGGGCCTCCTGTCTGATAAAATTGATGTTACCCTGCATTCTGCTTTGTTGTGGCTATACTTCCCCTATCACATTGGGGAAGTATCGCTGAAGCCACATGGATCCAGTGAAGCCAGCACAACATGGGCAGGCTCCCATGTTTGGAGGAAAGCTTTCTACGATGCTTCCATTCCAGTTGTAGGCGGGGCCTCAACTGGAAGTCCAGCCACAGTGTGTGATGGGCAGCATACCCATCCCTCACTGGATTGGTGGGGAAGCATCCTAGGATGCTAAAAAAAGCCCTGTGCTTAATTTTCAAGAGGATTTTAGAGGAGAGGAGGGTGGATGTCATTTTTATTTCTTTGGGTAGGGAGTTTCAGAGACGGGGAGCGATCACGGAGAATGCCCCCCCTCTTGTTCCCACCAACCGCACTTGTGATGGGGATGGGACCGAAAAAAGGGCCTCCTCTGCTGACCACAGTGCACGAGATGGTCTGTAGGTGGAATGGATAGCAGTAATGACCCACGTGTTAAGAATACTCAAACAAATAATGAAAAGAAATGCTTTCGAAAAGTAAGTTTGTGCCTCATTTCTGTGAGTGTTGCACCATTCCCAAGAAGATTGAAAAGCATATTTTTGGTGGCCCCTCCTAAAACTCTAGTTAATTTATGTGCCCTTACAATTGGCTCTAGATTTGCAGTCAGATGGAGAACTGATGATACAGTCTACTAAAATGATAATGGTTATTTCCAGAATATTTTTCATTTAGAAAATGTGATAGTACATATGCTATTGTACCAGAGAATTTAAAAATGACTATGCTCTCTTTTTTGTAGAGTATTAAAATCCATCAAAATAAGCCTGTTGGCTCAATATGGCTGTTGGTGTTTGTTTGGGTTTTTTTTTTTTAGCAGAGATCTCTGTTCTTAAATGTTCACACAATATAAACTTGACAAGCTGGTAGTTGGGCACGCCGCACTTGCTATTGCAGCAAGAAAGGACTAAATATAATTAAGCTGGTATTACTCCTAAAAGGTTGAGCATTATTCATTGCATCCTTTGAAATCTATCCATTAACATAACAAATACTAATAAGACTTTATCTGTTAAAAAAGGGGAGGCTTGCAGCTATATTTTTAAGGGTAATAAAAGTAGGTATTAAATACAAGCACATATTTTTGTGTGAATGGAGATTAGTAGATGCAACTTTGAAATTAATGCCTTTGGAGTCTTACTTACATATCCTTAAAAGGGACAACTATATGTCATGAAAGTGAAAGAATTTTTTTCTGGGCAGTACAACAGCAATTTTTGAAGTCTTAGATGTTTCATAATATGTGTAATAATAAGAGAAGGTCTTGCATGTGAACTGGAGCAAATGAGACGTCATTTTAAGTAATGAAATGGACAAGTTATTTGCTCACTTTTTCTTGTCTTTTTCTAGATTGGTTATTTATGGGCTGTACTGCAGCCAAGTAGAGACGGCCATATCTTGTTTAGACAATATCTCCAAGACGAAAGAAGATGTTAAGCTGAAACTAGAGGTATCCATATTTTGATCTTTGACTAATTCTTTCTACAAATTACAATGGGAGTTAGTCCTGGCCAACACCTGATACAAAATGCAGTGTAGAACAATCCTGAACTAAAACTACATGGAAGAGGTACAGTTTTAGACTAATATGCATAGAACCCCTGAAAATACTAACTATGTTGGCCAGTGGCTTCCAGGAATTGGAATCCCCCAAAAAGTAACTTTACGAAAGTTTGGATGATAGAGCAACTTATAACATTTCAGACTGCAGGTGGAGGAAGTCGTATTTGAAAGCTATTCTGTTAAAGACAAGGCAGCCTGCCATCTCCAGTGCTGTTATTTTGTTTTCAGAGCAGATCAAAGAGAAAGTATGCAGATCAGATCAGCCTTCTCTGTCATGGGTTTCAGTTTGCAGAAGAATGTTGTGAGACACAGGTGGGAAGATCTCTGACCTGCTATCTGATGAGATCCAGTCTATTCTCCCACCACAGAGCTTTGCATTTCCATCTCATTTTGCATGAAGACTAAGCTTCCTCATAGTTTCAGTTAATTTGAATGCCTGCCTGTGAATATTTTAAAAATATTATTCTGCTGTATGGATTATACCAGCATCACGTGGAAGTCTCTGTTATTTCCCTTTATTTAGGAATGTTCCAAAAGAGCCAATAATGGGAAGTTTACACTGAGGGATCTTCTTGTAGTTCCAATGCAGAGAGTCCTGAAATACCACCTACTCCTTCAGGTACTTTTCTTTACTTACAGACCATATATGTGTGCTGTTTCTATAATATCTCAGCTTATAGCTCATGTTGCTAGGATGCCACAAATTCCCACTTTTGATGGATGTGTTATGGTGAAGGTTTTTTAGTGGCAACATATGGCATGTGTCAAGTCCTTGACCTGTTCTATTTAAAATGCCCTAACAATTTAAAACTATTTTCTCAGTTCCTGTTCCCTAATTTTAATAATAATTCTAAAAAGTTTGTGGACTTGACCAATCTGATAGATTAATGTATACAATTTACTACAACAACAATTTTTAAAAACCGATGCCAAATGCAGTGAGGTTGTTCCTTGGGATCAAGGTTAGTGATATATTGGACATCCTCAGAGGCGGCCCTAGGTAATTTTCAACGGTAAGCAAACAGTATTTTGGCGCTCCCCACCCCCAACCAATCACTGATATATATATTCTGTTCGTCGTGGGAGTTGTGTGTGCCATATTTGGTTAAATTCCGTCATTGGTGGAGTTCAGAATGCTCTTTGATTGTAGGTGAACTATACATCCCAGTAACTACAACTCGCATATGTCAAGGTCTATTTTCCCCCAAGAGCTCCTCAAGAACGCCCCTGGGCAAAATCAACTATACTGCAAATGCTTACTTTGCGTAATGGGTTGAGCCGCCCCTGGACATCCTTATTTAATGTTCTAACATTTGTCCCACACAGGACTGATATGGGTGCCCCAAATCTATTACATGACAGCAAGTACCCGTGGCACACTTACCAGACTGCTCCCAAGTATCTAGTACATAAGCGGTCCTCACATACCCAATGTCAGAGATCAGTTTCCTGGGATTGTGGCTCTATTTCACCTGACACCAAGCAGCAGATTAAAATTCTCATCTCTTAATGGCTGGCCTTTCATTTTCAGATTTGTATGGGTTTCTATGAGATTTAAAACATTGTGAGAATCCTGAGCTCTCACAAGAGGCCCTTTTCTTGTGAGGCTTGAAGCAACCTTATATGTTTGCTTACCATCCTGTATTGGTTTTTAGAAAATCTGCCAACTGTAGTGCAAATTCCTTGTTATTCTACTATATGAGCTGATGTAGATCAGTGGCCCCACCCTCCATTCTGCTTGTCATTTTCCCATAATGCATATGAATAAGCTGAAGAGACAACATCAGTGCTATGTTTCCAAGAACAAATTTCAAAATAACCTCTATGTTCAACATTTATTTTAAAATGCTTTTTCTAGGCTAGTTTCCTTTTTTGGGGGTGGGGGGTGGGGTGGAAGTACTGGATCCCAGTGTTCACGCTGGCTATAAAATTTTGACAATGGTGCTTCAAAACTTTTCCAATCCTCTGGTCTAGATACTGTATTATTTTAATATGAAAAACAGAGCAAGTAAAGCCATCACATGGTGATGTTTCCCACACATAATCCACATCAATGAAATAAACACCTCACAACCCTGACTCATGCTGGCACTTGAATGTGCATTAAATTACTCACTTGGCATGGGATAGGAAACGTGCCCTGAGAACCTTGGATTTTTGATGAATGTAATGTCTAGGCTAGCTTTGTGCGGGTGGATATAGTTGCACACCTTCAGATTGTTTCTGCCTTATGGCAACACTACAGTGAAGCTATCTCTGGGGTTTCTTGGCAAGATTTGCTCAGAGATGGTTTCCCATGCCTTCCTCACAGGCTCAGAAGTCACCAGGGCTGAGAGGTCACCTAAGGTCACCTGGTGGGTTTTCATGGTTTGAGTGGGAATCTGAACCTTGGTTTCCAGAGCTATAGTCCAATAGTCAAACCTCCAAACCACATGGCTCTCATTTTACACTAGCTTTCACATGCCACCTATGCTTACCAGTGTATCCCAGGGAATATCCAGCATCCTGAGTCAAAGAAGAAAGGTCATTGTCTGGAAGGTTACAGTCCATGCAGTCCAAAATCTTTTGGTCAAGAAGTCAGTAGATTTCACAATGTGTGGTAGCTTGTTTGATAAATCCAATACATTCATCACTTGATTCCAAGTCATGATTATGTTTTTAAGGTAGAGGTGGGTCACAACTGTAGATTTTTGTAGTAGGAGCCAAGTGAAACTCCCAAAATCCCATTTAAAAGTGAATTTGGTTGGAATCCGCCTTCTTTTCCCTAGTATTTAAAAATATTAATAAATATCAGAGGAGTCTTGCAAGCTATTTGAAGCAGGGATTTCCATTCCTAGAAGCTTCTGGGATAAGACATTTGCCTGTTTTTTTTTTACTGGAATCTTTTTACCAGAATCTGGAGGACTTGAGGGTAATTAAATTACGCTTTGAGTGGCCCCAGGGCTGTACTTTGCCCATTTGACATTCCCATACATAGGCCCTTTCACATGATAGAGTTGCAGCTCTATGATTCCACGTTAACTGTTAAGCCTGCTTCCTGTGAAATCTGGGTGTTTGGTGAGGCACTGGACTTCTCTGATTGTTAACTCTATATACTGCTTTCTAAATTACAAATGCCAAGATGCCGCAGGAGGCACCCCTGACCCTTAAAGTGGAAACATAGTGCTCTAATTATGTAGCGTAAAAGCGCCACTTGTCAAAGCAAGACACTGATGCACCCATTTTCTATTTTTGTTTGGTGCCAGATTATAATAAAGCCATATTTATTTGCAACACTTTCCATTAAAACCCATGGTGTTTGCAACTCCTGTACAGTTAGTCTTGTAATAAGACTAGGGGGTCTTATAAATATCGCTTGATAGCTGTGCTGGGGGACTCATTAGTTCGGTTACAAAGATATATATTACTCCATTAGACTGTCAGCCCTGCTGATGCTTATAAAATGTCATTTTAAAAGAGAGCTTCTACCTATGCAAGAAGCTGTATTTTGCTTATGCTGGGCTGTAGGCTCTCTTCTGTATATCATGTTTCCTGTAATGAGCTGAGGTTGAGATTGCCAATATTGTGACTCCAGGGAAGTTCTCTGGAGAAAACTGAAAATAAATCATATGGTGTAACTTTTATTTTTAAAGACTTTACTTGGGCAAATTCCTAGAAGATTACTGGAGATATGCACTATATTTGTAGTGTCTGTTTACATACAAATAAGTACATTGGATGGGGAGAAAACACAGGAAAGTACTAGCATTTAGAACACCAGTTTATCCAATGCTGTAGCATACCCTTGGAATATTTGCAGTCAGCTCCAAAGGTTCAGATTTCAGCCTTTTATGTTGGCTGTATCCCAAAGTATATTACTTATTCATCACCACCTCAGGTGTGTCTAGTAAGGTGTGTCTCATAGTTAACAGCCACCAGCAATACAAGGTTATTTGTGACACACCTTGAAACAAAACTAACTGCAAAATCTTTGGAAGAGGCCCATTTTGCAATTCTGAAGAACATGTTTAAAATAATGGGTTGGAGCTAACCTAGCAACGGAGTCATATGGATGTCTGCCCAAATGTAAATCTCATTATTTTAATAGGGCTTATTCCCAAGAACAAAACTACACTGAAATTAGTTGAATTTTGGCCCCAATGAAATAATTGGGACAAGGTTATAATGAATTCATGGCCGGAATCACTGGGTTGTTGTAGGTTTTTCGGGCTATATGGCCATGTTCCAGAAGTATTATCTCCTGAAGTTTCGCCTTCATCTATGGCAGGCATCCTCAGAGGTTGTGAGATCAGATCTCACAACCTCTGAGGATGCCTGCCATAGATGCAGGTGAAACGTCAGGAAAGAATGCTTCTGGATCATGACCATATAGCCCGAAAAACCAACAACAACCCAAGGTTATAATGACTTGTGATGGTTAGTCATTACTAACACTAATGTTTGGTTATGCCTGTAAAGTGCACTCCAGTGGGAAAATTTAACTTAGATCATCCATATCCATATAATTCTCATTCCAGAAACTTTAGAAACCTTTCATAGTTTTTTTCTAAAATATTTGTCATCTGTCCTAAGTATTTGTCATCTGTCCTAATTATGGCTTGAAATTGAAGAGAAGAGATTTTATGAAGAAATTCCTTCCTAAAATCTTAAAATTTTCCTTGTATTCAAGAATAGAAGTGGTTTTTGAAAGGAATCCCATTGAAAAGCAATTACACTGTCTCTCAGCTGGTCATGTGGGAAAGTGGTACAAGAATATTTAAATATTACAGATTTGGTCAGGGAGAATGTATTAGAGCTTTGAAAATATAAAGGCTGATGGATAAATTTGAAATATTAGTCTTCAAGAAGGCTCTTTCAAAGACACCTTTTGAACTTTGGTAATAGTGAGGCAAGGGACCAGTATTCTTGATACTAATCTTGACTAGTGGAAGAAATTAAACCATATCAATTATATTTCAATATATATAATATTCCTCATTTTTATATATTTATAATATATTTATTTATATTTACAATACTAAATAAATATTCCTCATTTTTCTCCAGAAGGAAATTTCATTTGTTTTAAAACATTTTAATGTATTTGATAATTCATCTTGGGGAAGGGAGGGGAGGAATATAAGCTTTCTTTAAGCGGTACATAGCTATTGCTGAACAATAATTTTTTTATACTGCATTATAGGAGCTGGTAAAACACACTAGTGACCTTACTGAGAAGGCAAATCTGAAACTTGCACTAGATGCTATGAAGGTAGGCATAACTTACTTTTGCTGGTGAATAAATCCGGGGTACATCTACTGTATTTGGGGATTGGGAATAGTCAATAGAAACTTTCTGAGATCCTTCTTTTGAAAGTTCTGTCTATCTAAAAAAAAGAGAACATCCCAGTTTGTGAGAAATTTATTCACCTGTGACTACATCGCAGGAATGTTAAGGAGTCAAGTTAATGTATTGTCGAAGGCTTTCATGGCTGGAATCACTGGATTGTTGAAAGTTTTTTGGGCTGTATGGCCATGTTCCAGAAGCATTCTCTCCTGACTTTTAATTGTTTCTATCATAGTATGAAAAAGGGTTCTGATGACTTGTTTTATTAATGGAGTATATAAACAAAACTATGATTGTTCTACTGTACTTCAGATTTCTTTATTTCCTCTGCATTTAGGATCTTGCACAGTATGTAAATGAAGTAAAGAGGGACAACGAAACTCTCCGTGAAATTAAACAGTTTCAGTCCTCAATAGAGAATATGGTATGTTTTCATCCGGCACTATATGTTGATCCTTGTATAGGTTGGATGTCTCTTATTTAGAAGTCCAAAATCCAGAATACTCCAAAATAAAAAAAATATGGCTGAGGTCATGACATCTTTGCTTTTTTGTGTCATGCACAAAATAGTTCCAATAGTATATATTAAATTACCTACAGGCTATGTGTATAAGCTGTATATAAAACACAGACCATGTTTGTGTTTAGACATGGGTCCTGTATTAGGATATCTCATTATGTATGCAAATACATGGTGTCCACAGCCCATCCCTCGTAAAATAGTACTTCTGGTCGCAAGCATTTTGGATAAGGGATACTCGACCTGTGTATGTTTTTATTGCACCCCTACCCCCAGTTGACTTTCTGCACTTTCATTCATAAAGAAAGGGGCTGGCCAAAACCACTATTGCCAGATTAATGTCAGTACTGAAACTGTAAGTGCCATAGCCCATTGAGGTGGCAGTGCAAAACCTCCAGCACTGCAGCCAAAGTCAAGGTGAAGCATCAGGAAAGATCCTAGAAAGGTAGATCTTACCACAAGTTTGTTCCAGTTATTCTTGCTCTCCTACTGATGTGCGTGTATGTGTCTGGTGGAATGCATAGAAATATGTGTGGATTTTTAATGTCTTTCCTTTAATGTACACATTTATTTATGCATTTTATTTGATTTATATATATTTTGGTACATGGCTATTCCATGCTGTGAATTTTGGTCATTTGCATCTTACATACCTTTTCCAAAATGTGGTTCTTCTCTCAACAACTCAAGAGGTACAACTCAAGAGGCTATTTGCTTTGAGACTTCATAAGTAGTCAGTTGTGGGCGAGAAACTGAAAAGATGTTGCAAAGTGAACTAGATCATAAAATTCAAGAAAGTTGATAAATAGAATAGCTGGAAGACTAGGCAAGAAGAGAAGCAGGTTTACAGGAACTTTCGAAGACCAATAGGACATTTGATTTACAGAAAAAGCTTGATCACAGCCAGAGAGTCATGGAAGGAAATCTGTTGCCAAGGCCTGACCTATAAGTGCTTTATCAGTCAGTTTAGATTGTACAAGTGGATGCTAGGGGTGCAGTGGGTTAAACCGCTAAGCTGCAAAATTTGCTGTCTGGAAGGTCAGTGGTCCGAATCTGTGGGATGGGGTGAGCTCCCATTGTTAGCCCCAGCAGTTTGAAGACATGCAAATATGAGTAGATCAATAGGTACTGCTTATGTGGGAAGATAACTGCACTCCAGGCAGTCATGCCAGCCACATGATCTAGGAGACATGCACAGACAATGGTGGCTCTTTGATTTAGAAATGGAGATGAGTACCTCCCCTCCCTCAGAGTTGGACTCGACTAGACTTAATGTCAAGGGGAAACCTTTACCTTTACCTTAGTGAAATGCTATAGTGAGGCCATAATGGATGATATTAATACTGTTTCTACTCCTTTGCAGTTAGGAGTAGTTTATCTAAATGATCACAAGAGATATAGAACCAAGTAATGACTGGAGAAAAGACCATGAGAAAATAAGTGCAAAAAGCACTCACTGTGTGTTTTTCCTGTATCTGTATTGTGAGGGTGGAAATGAAACATGTGGAAGATGCTACAAGGCCTGTGATTTTATGCAACATCTACTCTCAGCCTTTTGTACAACTAAGTAGCTGAATTATGTTTGTATTCTGTGATTGCCATTATTTCCTCTAAGGATTTAGCCAAGGAACAAACACTGGCAGCTATCCTTTAAGTACCATATATACTTGTGTGTACGCTGACCTCCTATATAAGTCAAGAACAGGTTTTGGAGCCAACATTATGGATTTTGCTATGACCCATGGATAAGTCAAAGGTCATTCCATGGAGTGGGAAAAGCATCATTGCTGACATAGGATGCCAGCAACCTCTAACTGTTGCTGCTGTCATTTCCCCTCTTAGGCATTCAGATACACCTTTTTCCACTCTGCCCAAAGAAGGGGATGTTTGGTTAATACTGAACCTTACCCTTTTTTGGGTAAAATACAATATTATCCTAACAGAGCAGAACAGTATTAACCTAATGGAACTACCAACCCCATCTCTACTCTCTTGATGCTTCATTGCATGGAAGAGCCAAGGAACAACTGCTGCTACAATTTTCCCACTCAGGCATTGAAAAAAAAGCCAGAAATTGTGCCAAGGTGAAGAGGCTTGGGAAGCTGGCGCTTCTTTTAGGTTGTCTCAGGATGGACTGAACACTTGCCTTTTATCCCTCTATTCTCAGAAGGGGATGGTTCCTTTTTGACAAGAGTTAAGTTCTCACATTGACTTGTTGACAGGTTGGCCTAATATTTGGGGTGCATGAGTATATACAATAATAAATATTGTTTCTAACATTTCAGAACCAGTCACTTTTACTCTATGGAAGACCACAGGGTGATGGCGAAATAAGGATAACAACTTTGGACAAACGGGCGAGGCAAGATAGGTGAGAAGTGTCTGAATTTTAATTTAATTAACGGGTGACATTTTATCCTGGATAAAATCTTGCAAAACTTCACATTTTACTTCAAATTATTTATTGATCTATTTCAAATAAAAATGAAATGTGTTAGGATTGTACATTGCTCGTTTTTACATAGCAAAAAAGTGCCACTGGAGGAGTGGGGAATGTATTCTCTTTAAAAGGGCATGACTCCTCGAGGGAAAAGTGTCTTTTTTGCTGAGGAATTGCTATCTGCTCTCCTGCCTTGGGAATAATCATGCTACAAACATTTCTGAGGATTAGTTTCTTTGAAGTAACTGCTGTTCTTGTTCGTTGCAGTTCATGTGTCCCCTGAAGGGAATGATAAAATGTGAGTCCCCTTTTGGGGGGGCAATATGATCATATTTTATTGATGTGAATTCTCCCCTACTAATATTATCTTCATTGATTTTGTTTTGCAATGTTCGTTTAGTATCCGGAAGCCTTATTTTAGTATCTGACTGTGGTATGTAATATTAGTATTTCAGAGTTAACAATATTTTAAGGCATTTGGTAGATTAAGGTCCACAGCCTATAATTTCTTATATGAATGTTTATCACTAGATGTTCACCTGATGGCTTACAGAGCAAAACATAAAATACCCACAATATCAATAAATAATAATGAAACATAGAAAACAATTAAAATATCACACAACTTTCGTCAAGCATAGATGAAACCATAAGCATTGAATCATAGAGTTGGAAGAGACCTTGTTGGCCATCCAGTCCAACCCCCTGCCAAAAAACAAAAAAATCACATTCAAAGCACCCCCACAAATCTTAAAAATGCTTAAAGAGGTTTCAAATTCAACCATTTTTTAAAAGAAATCTGGCTGAATAAAAAGATTGCAGGTGACTGTCTCTTTGGAAGCTGTTCCAAGCACCATCATTTGAGTTTCTGATGATACTTAAGCTTCTAATGTCAAGGGATATAAAGTGGACTCAATTTTTGTGGGGAAATAGATCTCACTGTATAATAAGCCAAATGCAAATAATATTTGTAGGCAAAGTACCTACCAGCAGCAGTCTGTCATCTTTGGATGAGCCTCAATTTGTTTCTCCTTATTTAGTCTACTACCATTCTCAAGCCCTGGATTTGAATGTCTACATAGCGGCTGCATTTGACTGCAAAAGAGGCAAAACTGGTTGTCATAAATATACTAATGACATCTCAGCAAGTTCACTTTGTGGATAATTATATGTGAAGTCCTGGGACCCGTTCAAGGCCTGGGTAGTATTTATATGCACCACAGAGGCTGGCCTAGAACTGGTTCCATGTCTGCGATATAAATGGTTTCACAGTTGTGGAGGAATCTTTTTTTACCTCTCCTTCATTGCAATGTGCATGTATGGATCTCCAGAGCACCCATCCCTTAATCACTTTTGCCATGTGATGTCATTTACAGTAAAGCACACTGATGCACATTAAGGGCACTGTTTTGGTGTTTTCCCCCAACTTTGGTTATCTAAGACCCCTTCTACACTGCCGTATAATCCAGATATCAAAGCAGATAATCCACTTTAGCTTCTTTAATTGAATTATGTGAAGACATAAAATGCCCACAATATCAATAAATAATAATGAAACATAGAAAACAATTACACTGCCATTACACTGCCATATAATCTAGTTCAAAGAAGATAATCTGCAGTGTAGAAAAGGCCACAGTTAAAAGCCTTTAGTGCACATTGGTGTCGGTCTTCACAGCATTCATCATTTAAACACTGTCCTTTAATTCTGCCTTCAAACTGCATTAAATCATTACTGTAGCCCCAGGATTTAGTTCCCTGCTTGGCCATGAAAACCCATTAGGTGACTTTGTGAGAGTCACACATTCCCAGCCCGAGAAAATCCTGTTATAGGGTCACCTTAGGTTCACCATAAGTTAGAAACAACTAGGGTTGGGCCCAGATCAGTTTGAATGAAAGTGATTTGTAAAATTTGGTGGCTCATTTTGTATATCCCTGAAAACAGGACAAGGAGAAGGGGTGGGGAACTGGAAAGCTGGCTGAAACAAATCAAGAGAGCAGAATTTTTCAACTACTTGAGAGGATGCAGTTAACTCTGCAATTATAACTGAGGCAAGGGGTTGCTGCAGGGCTCATGAAGAAGATGGGATTAATTGCAGTGTCTTTTTTCCTTGCCCGGAAGTGGCAGCAGCGTCCATTTCTTCTAGAAAAGTTCCCCAGTCTCCTCCTCCAGAGATGGCTCTGCTGGGAACCCACTTTCCCAACAGCACTTGCATGAAGTGGGCATTGAGAAGTCTTAGTTCCTCTTGGAGCATGATGGGAGTTGAAATTTCTCTTTCTGTGTGTTTCTAAGCCAATAAAAGGCCTGGTTGTGTCCATGCTCTGATTGGCAGAGAATGAACACAACCAGCAACTACAATTCCCAGAATCCTCTCTTGTGGTTTGTCTTATTTTAAAAAAATGTTATGATAAAAACTTAAAATAATTCTAAATAAATTGGTAGGTTGATGAATTGTTCTGAAACTTGCAGGCCTGAGGATTGAGTCTCTAAAGTTTCCCATTGTAGCCAATGAGTCAAAACTTTGCTGAATGAAAATGGTATTCTCCCCCCGCCCCCCAGCTCCTGATTTGATTAACTTCTTGGTAAACAGAATGAGGAGTTGTCCAAAAACTGAACCAAAAATGGCATGCTTTTTGGATGAATTGCACAAGCCTAGAAACAACTTGAGGGCACACGGCAAGAGACAACAACATACTTAAAGGAACCAAGTACCAAAACAAAGTGAAGCTTGAGCTTCGTGAGATAAGGAGTAGCAGAAAACCAGAAACATCTTTATTTCCCCCGTCCCCCCCCCTTCTCTTTTTTCTCAAGGTTATGTCTTTAATTTTATGCTGCTTGGCTGGGCTTGCAGAAATAGCCATTGATGAAAATATGTGTTTTTCCTGGAGTGTCACTTGGGAACAGCCTTCCTCTCTTCAACCGCTGTGGTTGCTGATCTCTGAATCTATATGATCCAAAGGACATCCTTCTTTAGTGGTGGTTCTTGAGGTTGAGTTTACATTTCAGGATTCAAAAAGAAGAGCCAGGACAGGGCAGAGTAGCTAAAAACACTCTCTCCTTCATTTTAAGTTCCTCTTTACAGTTTCATAGTTGGTGAGCAATAATGATATTTAATATTTGACTGTATTTAATAGTGGGCATGCAATGATATTTAGTATTTGACAACTGATGTGCACTGGTATTTCAAATTTGACAACTGCTTTTGTAAGACTGGCCATAATACATGATTGACATCTGATGGCATTTGATACTTGACAGTTGTCAAACATCAAACCATCATGTGACTTCATATATATGTTAAGGCAAAGTCTTCAACATGCTTTCTAGACATTAAACGCTATTGGGCAGAGATCATGTAGTTCTGAATAATCATACAGAGAATTGTACAGAAAAGCATTTACACAACAGTTCACAACCTGCTTTTCAAATCTGGATGCAAAAAATCAAATTCAAAGTCTATATTTTAAAAATATTCAGACATGCTGCAACTGAAATTTTCTAAGATAATATTTTGGCTTGCAGACCCCACATTCATACAACTTGTTATATATTTTCTCTTTTTTTTCATAGGCATATCTTTCTATTTGACCTGGCTGTAATTGTTTGCAAACGGCGGGGTGATAATTATGAAATGAAGGACATCATTGATCTTCAGGAATACAAAATAACCAACAATCCCACCACAGATAAAGAAAACAAAAAGGTAAAGAGGATGTCCCTCTCTGAGAACACAAGTCCATAGCTCTTTGTAGTTCTCAAAGCTTTTGAAAGTCTCAACATTTATTTAAGCAGAAATGCCCTTTATTACTACATTTTCATAGGGGATTTGCATATGTATGTATGTGTAGCATTCAGAAATTATCTGAACAGAAATCCAAAAACATATAGTCATGGTCTAAATCCAGTTGCCATTCTCAAATAAAATAAGTCCACTGAAGCAGTGAGATTTACATAAATGTAACTTTTTATTCAACAGTTTTTTCAGCAGATCTTCATTAGCTAGGATTAGGAATTAGATCCATGTCATTAATTCTACATCTTACTTTCCCATGGAGGCCATCACATGACACAAGACCACTTCTGGTGGTTGCCCATGGGACTCTATTGTGGCATCACAGGAAACGAAGGGAAGAGTGTGTTTTTAGGAGTGGAGTGCAACCCAACTCCCAATGACAGAAGCCAGAGAGAAGTTGGATATAAACCAACTTCTCTCTGGGAAATGTGGGGAAATTTCCCAGGGAGAAGTGGGGAAATGTGGGAAAAGGACATGTGATGGCTGTCATCCTTGAAAATGGTAATGTAGGGGACCTTGATGGTAGGAAACGAAAGAAGATGGTCTCTCTGCTTTTCCCTTCTTTCTCATGTGATGAGGTCCAAAGACACTGTCAACCTCATAATAGGTGGCAAATTTCTTCAGCAATTCCACTTGTGCCACTGCTTTGCCATGGAGCATGTGGCAGAAGTACTTCTGGGGCGGCTCCAAGCAAAACAATGGCAGAACCAGAGTGGTCGCTGAAAAAAAGCCACCACCAGCAACACAAAGGCTTCCTATGTTATATTGCCTTCAAATGGGGCAAGCCAGCCAGCAGATGCATCCTCCCATGTGATGAGGGAGGGAGAAAGCTGGCAGGGTGCAAGGCGCCAGGGAATAGTCCCCATGCCTCTTGGGCAGGTCGCCATGATGTGTGGTGATCCACATTGATTCCGGAAGCGCATGTGACAAGGTAGCAAGTTATATTCAAGGTTCTTCAACTGTTTTAAAGAGCTGCATTAATTTATTTTTGCTAGCATTGGTGAGTCTGAAATTAGAAATGTTTTGCCATCAAGGTTTTGCAGCCCTCCTGTATGTGAGGTGTTGATAAGATAACCTTGGAATTCATTGTCATTTTAACAGTGGTCTTACGGCTTCTACCTCATCCACATACAAGGACAAAATGGGCTGGAACTGTACTGCAAAACGAAAGACCTGAAGAAAAAGTGGCTCGAGCAATTTGAAATGGCACTGTGAGTACTCCTGCAGGGTAGACAGGAATAATTTTGCTGACCAAATTAATCCAACAGTGCTTCAATATTGTTTGTTAAAATAGCTGTTCAAGTAATTTCAGAAATGCATACTTGCAGCAGGTTATCTACGGGGCAGACATGACATTCGTCCAAAGAAAGGAAGAGGGAGCTCTAAGCTATGTTTTCATGTATTGCTTTCCTTTGAAGTTCTCTGGTATCTAGGGACAATATTAATGGGTTTAGCAATAAATATTTAACATAATTGTGGCTGATTTTTCTATCATTGCCTTGGTAAACTAAAATGTATGACTAAGGGAGATGGGGATGCTGGCTCTTTTCCTTGTGGCTTCTAACTAATTTATTATGTGGTGTATGGATCAGGTTTCCTGGTTTATTAAATTTTACATCAAAGATTTGATTCCTCGCTCCCTCTTTAACACAACAAAAAGCATTTATGTATCACAGAATCCTTTCAAAGAAACACAACACAGCTGTGATGTATTCTAGAGCGGTGCTATTTTGTATCTATTTCCTTTGTTTCAGTGAGCAAAATATAATTAACCCTCTCTCTCTTGGGGTCCTCATGTCATTTCTCTGATTTCCGAGGAAGGCAATGTGGTGCAAAATAAATAAGTGCAACTCAGTAGCAATGGCAGCTGATGGCCATGCCACTGGGTGCTCTGGATTTCAGTGAAATCTTTAATAGAGCTGTCTAAGATATGGAAGGATATTTTCTAAAAAGGCCTAACACTTTGGACAGCATCTTTAATATTTGTACCTAAATCTCTCTATGATTCACATAGACGTCAAAATATACGGTATAGTCAGTATCTGTAGCCCCGTGTTGTGTGTGTGGTGGCATGCTCCAATATAAAACTGGTGATTTTTCAATTATGTTGAAGTGAAAGATATTAAATAGTAGAATTAATCTTGCCAAGAAAGCTCTGTGGTTCCCCACCTACTACTGTAACATGTGGAAAGTGTAGATCCCTTCTTCTAGTTCAGCTCTTAACTATTTCCTTTCCATTCATCCGGAATATAGAAATCTTACTTAAAACACTACCCATTTTAACAGATACATTTTTAGACAGAAATGTCACTTTTCCAAACTTTGGCTCTTTTCCAACTTGAATTCTACAGAATCACACACCCACCATGCTGATAGTGTATCATATGTTTTTAAACACACACTGGATGGCCATCAGTTGGGGGTCCTTTGATTCTGTTTTCCTGCCTGGCAGTGAGTTAGACCCTTGTGGTTTCTTCCAACTCTATGATCCTATGGAAAAATTATACACACAAGTTGCCATTGTTTATCTTCTTCACCCACCTCTTCAAGCCCTGCCTCCTGCATATACTTTCACCAACACATAAGATTTTTTAAAATAATCTGCCAGCTCCATTTAGAAAACAGCAACTGCTCCTGATGCTGATCATGTTATATTTGGAGACTTCCCAGTTCCATTCATCAGTTTCTTACATTATTTTAAGATTTTATTAAGAAGTAAAATGTTCTACCAACTTATAATTAAGATGTGTATAATGATATAGTTTTCATGAGTATAATTTGCAGTTGTATAATTTTAAATGCTTAAGACATTTAAATCAGGGGTAGACAAAATAAGGCTGCATGTGGCCTTTGGGACACTTTTAAGTGTGGCCCATCAGAACCAAGACTCCCCTTTCTAGGGTGAATTTTCAAAAAGTAATTTTGACTGATTTTGTGCCATATTTTGCCTCCAAACTGTCCGAGATGTGTCAAAGCCCCAGTGGTTTGATTCAAAGCTTAGTGTAAAATTAGTATTTATAATTGCCTGCAAATAAGTTATGATGAAATCAAGAAGTGACATTTAAGGTGCACCAAAACTTGCTGTTGTGATATGCTGAGTGAGTGCAGGATGGAAAAAATTGATGCTGTCCAATGTGTAGTTATCCACTTTTCATCTCATTCCTCACTTTCACAAATTCTACCAGTCCTAGTTGACCATGGAACTCCAGCTAAGCTCTTGCTTGTTACAGAAGATAATGTCCTGTCTTCTTGCTTGCCTACACAAGCAAGAAGACAGGGCATTACCCTATTAGAGCAAATGGCCCATTCTGATCAGCAGAGGTGCTCACGATAGCCAGAAGCTTGGCAATCTAGGAGTGGTAGCAGTGGCAACAGAGACACAATCCACCCCTTTTCCCTGCACTCATGAACTCAGGTAAAGGTGATGGCACTGGTGTCTACTCTGGATAGCTGATTGGACCAAATCAGATTCAATCCAGCTGTCCAGACTGCCCCAAAGCTGTGGGGTACTCTGTGTTTCCATCCCCCCCCCCCTGAGTTTCCTGCATTTTGAAAAAAAATGGGCAAAGGCAGTTTACAACAACTCTCCTCGGGTTAACTAGAAAGGTCTGTATTTTGTGAAGATAGCTAACCTATCATTCAGAGTGAGTCTGGATTTTGGGGTTGGGTGGGTGGGAGCTAAAGTGTATACAGGATCCTAAACTCTGCTGTATATTGGTGCTCCCAATTCTGCCTCGTAGTGTGCTGTAAAGTGTTTCTGAATGCCTAAGAGTTTCTGTTCCCAAATCTAGCATTTGCTCATCTGTTTTCTAAAAGGAGACAGTCAAAGCTTGATTATTTCCACTCGAAGCTTTTATACATTGTGCAGCTCAAATGACACAGCAAGTGCATTGGGTACATTTCAACTGAACCAACAATTCATCATCCAAGCGATATGCTTAGCGTCTGCTGCGGGTTTGATGAAGACATTAGTGCTTTTAATGCCTTTCAGTTGTCTGCTTCCCTGCACGTACGCTGTCAACTGTTAAAATTGCATAGCCTTGTAAAAGTGTTGGGTGTCAGCCAACAAGCAACACCACTCATAGCTGTCCTTTGGTAAAGGTGATTTGTTGTTGATGATTATCACAACTGAATGGGATCAAGGGAATCGGTGGCTTAGTAGCTTAATGCGTTTGACTTTTGTGTGGGTTCTCTTTTGGCCTAATTTCAGGATTGGAAATTAGATTAGTGGTCTCAGCCAATGCATCCCTAATGGGTTTCTTCTCCTCGCTGCCAACTGGTATCACAACCAAATACTCTTGTTCATGATTGGCAGCCTTCCGTATGAAGCCCTGGCATTTTGTGGCAATCTGTGCTCTAGGCAGCACCTGAGAAAAGTTGGCATTTCTGGCTTGGTAGAAGTAATTTCTAAGATCATTACATGGCAGCCCATATTACGTTACACAGCAGCCAAACTAGATTTACCAGGAAGTGATGCTGGATGACTTTGAGTGTGTATTCTGACATGGCAGGGGGTTAGACTCGATGTCTCTTGTAGTCTCTTCTAACTCTATGATTCTATGTATAGGGTTTTCAAAATTACTAGTAACTTATAATTAACTTATTACAGAGGTATAACTGTATTATGTTGCATTCTGACTGTTACTATCACTCTTCTTTTGGAGTAACTAGTGTTTTACTGCATTTTGTTGTTACGGATATGTAATCGTAATATCAGAAGCGAAGTATCACATTGTTAAAAGACTGGCTTGTGGTGTGCCTTGTGTTCTGTTGAGGGTTTGGAAGTGATAGGGATATGTAGGAGAGTGAATTTTGTACCATGGACTAGTATTAATCAGATTTCCCCCCGTCTTTGATACTTTTGAGAAACAGAAAAATAAAATGCTATTTCAAGACCTATCTTGGTTTTACCAGAAGCATCCAAACAACATCCATGAGAAAAATGAATTAATGCAAAGTAAACAAAGGTTTCCTGGTTTATTCCATGTTAATTAAACACTACATTAGATTCAGATCTTTATGAAATATCCAGGCTTAATGGGGTGCTGGGCCTGTGAGGACTAACTCTCAGGACATGCCACACATTTCCCTAGGGTCAATCTCCACAGCCATCCTTCACTTTGGGGCCCACCCCTTTCCCCAGTCCCTGATTTACTCATGAAACCTTATTGAAAAGGGTCTCTAGCTGCCATGCAGCCTCTCCTCACATTCTCATGGCATGAGAAAATGATGCCTGAGGAGACCTAGACAGGTCCTTCTCACTCCTATCTTTTTTAGGTAGTTTTTTTATTTACATACATTAAAAACTTACTGTGTAAACAAAACACAGAACCCCACCACCAAGGCCTGAACAAGTATCCTTTCCTTTGCCATATATTTATAAATCACCAATTAATCAAATGTCATTTCCAAAATTCCTGTCCAAAATTCCTGACCAAAATTGCTTTCCATTTTCACTTTCGCATATTTAATTTTAAAAAAACGACCAGTATGCATCAAAATCTGATCCTCACCCCTTCTATCTCAGGTGTCATTTTCTCATGCCATGAGGATGCAAGGAGAGGCTGCATGGCAGCTAGACATCCTTTCCAATAAGTTTTAGGGGGTAAATCGGTGGTTTCGGGATGGCTTCATGTTATCTGGATTTCAATTGAGATTACATGTATCCACCCTGAGAGGCAAATCCTAGGGTTTTGGGAGGAAGTTGGGTCTAGAACCAGCGCTTAAGTGGGTTATCTTAATGTATTTCGGCACAAGTTTTGGTGCCCTAAGAAATATGGAAGAGAAACAACCATCCCAAAGGGCATTCAGCAGATCTTGAGCAACCATTCTGCAGACAGCTACTTATACTGTCTGTGAAGTCTGGCTAGCCCTGCAAGTCTTTCCTTGCAAGTCATCCATAGTTATGAGCAAATGGTGTATGCAGTTTTTAGCAGACAGCTAAGCATTAATGTAATTTTTACCTCCTATACACTGAGCTATGCAACCACAGATGGAAGCGCTGAGAAAAGTAGGGATGTAGAGCCTTAACTATTTCATCCTTGTTATGTGAGGACATGTAATTGTGGTAGGTTTTTTTTTACCATTGTGGGAGAACATGGATATTCCTCTAAAATTCTCCCCTAATTCACACAGCCTGAAGTGTGATTGTGGAACTGATCTTTGGACAAAAAGAAGCAGGTTTTCCTGCACAGAAACCCCTGGGTTTTTC